AATAAGAGCCCCAAGGGAACTATGCAGGCCAAGAAGAAACCTAAAACAGAACCTCTGGAGCCCTCCAACATTTAAGAACCATCTAGTATATGTAAATAACAGAATCTCTGAAGGAAAGGCTGCTCAGTGTAATGGAAAGTCTGATGTATGAGAAATCAGGAATCGGGAATTCTAATCATTCTATAGCTATTTCAAGTCAAAGTGATGTTGACTTAACTTCTCAGGGCTTCCAATTCCTCACTTACCAAAACAGGAGTGAGGTACATGTAACAGGAATGAGGTAAGGGTAACACTAATGTATCTGCCAACCCAACTATTTTCACTATTTTCTTTTTTTTTTTTTTTTTTTTTTTTTTTTTTTTTTTTTTTTTTTCTTTTTTTTTTTTTTTTTTTTTTTTTTTGAGACAGAGTCACTGTGTCACCCAGGCTGGAGTATAATTGTACAATCTTGGCTCGCTGCAACCTCCACCTCCATGTTCAAGTGATGATTCTCATGCGTTAGCCTCCTGAGTAGCTCGGCATGCACCTCCAAGCCCAACTAAATTTTGTATTTTTAGTAGAGATAGGGTTTTGCTATATTGGCCAGGCTGGTCTCAAACTCCTGACCTCAGGTGACCTGCCCACCTTGGCTTCCCAAAGCGCTGGGATTACAGGTGTGAGTCACCATACCAGGCCTCTACCAACCCTACTATTTTCTTATGTCATGATTTCCATGTGGCATATGTGTAGCATTCCAATGACACAATCCAGCCTCATTGAAGAGTGGTGTCTCACCCTTCCAAGGCAGAATCTGCTGCTGCTGCTGCTACCCAGGATCACATAGCAGGTTGCCTAAGAAGGGGAGACTCTGAGTGGGGAGGCGCAGAAGCTGCCGCCTACATGCCTTTCCCACTGGAACAAGAGTCACTGGAGAGAAGTCAAAATATTTGCATTCTTCATGTTCAGCTGCTGCATATGTCAGATAAATGTTGTACTGTAGGTTATTTTTCTTGACATTGGGATGAACTTGCGCTGAGCTTTATTTACTTTCTTGCCAAATAAATGCCAGCATATGTTTATAAAAAGCCATTCAGGGAAGAGAAGAGAAACAGCAATGGCCTAAAATTTAAGCTCCGTGATCCAGAAATAAATCAAATCGTTGGCTTTGCCTTACTGGAACTTGATGCTCACCAACTGAACTAAACAATTTGGCTATACTAGCAAGGATAAGATGTTGTCCCAGGTCAATTGATTATAATTCCTTATGAAGGACTAACTCCAGGACAGGCTAAAGACCAGCTAGACTGTTTCTTCTGTCCAGCAGGACTCCACAGGATGGCAGGTGGTCTTGCAGTATATTAAAGAATTTTGACCTATCTGATTAGAACTAAGTAGCGAAAACAGGCCTTTGCTTTTTAGGTTATGGGGATGTCTCGCACATTACTATGAATAGCCAACCAAAATAACTAGAGCTGAATGGTTGGGATGGGTAGAGACGGTAGAGACAGCTACATCTTAGAATACCAGCAGATTATGCTGAAAAAAATCTAAATACAATATCAAGCCAATTTTAGATTTCAAGATTTAGAGTAGCTCATCTTCACAGGCAGAAGAAGCACTCTTATGAGTACAGAAGCAGGAGTTAGCCAATTTTACTTTAAGGGAAAGATACTGATACCCATGCAAATTAATCTTACCTGTTGCTCACTTTGCTTGGGTCATTGGGCTATTTTGATCTAGTGTCTAGTGTCTGACCTGGGCCATGAAAACTCCAGTTTTCAACATTCCATCTATGCTTTCTTCATTGTATATACACAAGTGCTTCTTTCTAACACTCCCAATTCATGTGTGCGGCTGGTGATGCCAAGGGACTCACCCCCAAGGAAGTTCCAGTAGAGAACACAGTTTGAGCTATTGGGACACACAGCCTTAAGAACTGTCCTAGGCTTAACACATTTAGTACAAATTATCCATTCTAGGTTTAGGATTGGTTCTAGAATGTTTCTAGATAATAAAAATTAGAGAGAGAATGGCAAACTGTGTGACTGTGTTGGCATTGTTACGGTGAATGGAGCAGGGCTCCTTAATCCAAAAAGAAACCCATTCCTGTATAGAGGCGATGCCAAACACATTTTCTTCACTCTTCTTCAGAAGTGCCTAGAGTGGGTGCCTAGAGTTAGAAATAGGAGCCCCCAAATCCAAGAAACCTTGGATCCCCCTCTCTGGACCATCACTCCTTCCATATAGAAGCGGCCGTTCTTGCCCGTTTATCCTGCCATTTCCCTATAGACATCTACCATAACATCAACCACGTTAAACATTTCTCACATTTCCCTTCGTTTCTCCAGGAAGACTATACACCCCTTGTTCAAAAGTAAAGGCTGTGTCGAGTTGGTGTTTGTGTTTTGGTTGGTTTGTTTGTCTGTTGCCTTTCCCACCTCTAACATAGTGCCTGGAACACACTAGGGCTTCAATATATGTCAATTTCCTGTAGGAAAAATGAACAAAAGATACACAAAAGAGTCTCCACTAAGGAATCAATTTCAATAAAGAAAAACAATGTCATTGGGAATCTCAACTTTTTCTTTGCTAGCAGAGAAGAGTCCTGTAATTTTTACACTCCATTGATTCATCCTGAACATGGTGTCAGGAACAATCCATGGGCAAAAGACAATTAGCAGGAGAACAAAACAGTCAGTTGAACCGTCTGGGATTTGAGCGATGTATAGATCAAATGTCTTAAATTGGCTAAGCTGCTTCTCATTTGGCCAGAATGGATGACTCTTGGCTGCACTGCACCAAGAATAATTGTCCCTCATATATCCCCAATCAGCTGCCTTTCAATGACTAGTCAGAAGTGACAACATAAAAGGTGCAGTGACTTTCACTGTTCTTGGCAAGTTTTGGACCAGCTCCCATTGATTCACCCTTGATATGGGTGAGCTCAGAGACACCTTGTATAGCTGGCTACAGTCACTGTGTCCTGACTCCAACAACCACAAGGCCCTTGAGTTAAGAAGAAACCCAAGAAGAAGAAGAAGTGAGATGGCTTTATACTGCCTTCATAGATAACGGAAGATCTGCAACACTTCAGCAAACACCAAAACTGTCTCATGCATCTCAGAGACAAAATGACCTTTCTATCTTCCCAAACCAGCACCAGGGTAGGTTACCCTACAGAGATATTTGGAAAAAGCCCAGGCACCTGACAGACTGACCAGCGCATTGTCGCCTATTTTCTTATCATAGCCCCTGTTCTGGCAGTTGCTGCCTTGAAAATTCAGTGAATTTTAATTCCATAAGCTCCAAGAAAGCTCTCATTTCCTCCTCTGTCCTCATATCCTGTGTTCTATCTCTAATCTGACTGTAAGAAGGGTTTGTAGTTCTCTTGAAATATACCTTAGTGAGTAACACAGTTGGTCACACAAACACCATGCCTTTAAAACACCTTCTCACTGGTCATCCAGCCCTTGTTCCAGGCCTCGTCCAGGATCTGTCCACATATCACCTGTCTTCTGATACGTGAACAATTTCTGGTCACTGACCACTGGTCTGTAGAGATGAGACCCTGTAGGTCTCTCCTTAAAACATCCTTCCCTTCTCTGAATCTCCATGTCCTCCTTCTCTATCCACTAGCATGCTACTGTCTTGCGTTATCTTATTACAGCTTATTATATAGCTGTCTTAACTCCTCAACTAAATAAGTGATAAACTTCTTGAAGGCAAGAACTATATCTAATCAGGTATGGTATTCTCAAAGCCCTGGAGCCATACCCTTCACAAAAACTTGGTCTTGATGTAAATTACCCTTTTGTAGAACATAGCAGCTGACAGCCCACGGATAGTCAGCTTGATTCTGTGTGCTTGGCATATAAAAAAAAAAATAGACCAAGCTGCAATCTCCAAATAGCTTGCCTGGAATCTCCTTGTGTTGATGTTGTCCCTCTTCTTGTCTTTATCTCTGCCCTTTGCCCAAACTGTAAATTGGGTGCAAATGTCAGATACTGAAGTGATGAATGAAAAGGGAATCCTCCCAGCATTCTGGCTTGGTCTATAGGGTCAGCCCTCATCTCTTCGGTCCCCTCTCACGCCCTTCCTCCCACCTCCACAGTTCCCCAATTCCATTCTGGACAGTTGCCAGAAAGGAACAAAGCATCCAATCCATTCTGGACTCTGTTCAGGTCCTCAACTGTGTCAGCGTTGCTCACTATACAGTGAACCTGTAGAGTATGTTGGTCTCCTTGCAAGGGCCTCCCAAGCTTCTCTATGCCTTTTCTTTAATGATGTTGATGACAATAATTATGACCATAATAATCACTAATACTAAATGCTCAGGAACCTATTAACTCATTTAATCATCATCAGTATCTTGTAAGGTAGGTGCCTGATTATCTCTATTTTACAAATGAGGAAATCAAGTCTCAAAGATATTGACTACCATGCTGAAACTCACATCACTGCATGAGGGCCAGATTTCTCACCCAGTCTGGCTCCGGAGTTCATGCTCTTAACCAATACATCACTCTGCCTCTTATAAAACCCACCATGTTTGTAATCCGTTATTTAATGGCTAAATATTTCACTAGGCAGCAAGCTCCATAAAAACAGAGATGAATCTGTCTTGTTCAACTTTGTGCTTCTAAAGCCTAACCCATGTGTTAGCTTGTAAAAAGCACTAAAGAAGTACAAGTCAAATAAATAAATAAAACAGCCAGTTGGCTAGACTCCCTGGAGTCCCAAAAGGGAATTATTTACCCTCTCTAAATAGACAGTATTTAATCAAAAAGTATCATAATCATGGTAATATTTATTATAAAGCTTCCCTTTCGGCAACCCAATCTTAGCCAAACGAATCCAAGCTTTCAGAACTAGAAAGGGTGCATTCGGTTAATCAGTAAACCCAAAAACTGCTGGAAGAAAGAAAGTGCAGGTAGGTGCAAAGGCTCGGGCTGTCCAGGGATCCAACTGTAACACATCAGCCCCACTCAGTCCCTCACTTCCCACTCCCTAGGCCGACTCACCCCTTTCGCAGGTTCTTCCCCAGTATCCTGTGCCCGTACAGTCGCAGATGAAGCGGTTCCAGCCGTCCTTGCACACCGCATTGTTCTTGCAGGGGTAGCTGTCACACTGCTTGGCGCTCATCCGTGAACAGGAGGACTTGACACCCGCAGCATTCTGCATCTCTGCCAGCTGTCGAATGTTCTTGCTGCGCCCGTCAATGAACAGGTCACGGATGCAGCCCACGTAGCCATAGTTGAGCATGGCGGTCCACAGCTCGGTGGGGAGAATAAGGCCAGCACGGTTCTCTGGCAGCCCTCCCAGGTACATGTCTCCTTCCAGGTCCAGGATCTCGCTCTCCCCACTGGCGGTGAATGGCGTGCGCCTGCTGTTCACTGATATAGTACCTGCGGTGGGAAGACAGATCCAGAGTTAGGAAGCTCTCCCGGCGACTCAGGTGAGTCCGTCAGTTGCTTAACCAAATGAAAGAAGCCCACCAGGTGAGTGCTGAGACCAGCCATTGCCCGGCCAGGAGAGAACAATGAAAGGAAGAGAATTAGATGTTACGGGACAATAGGAAAGACAATGTAGGCCACCTGGTTCCAATCTCTGCCAGCTAAGTCCACCTCGCCCTCAGGAAGACTCAGGAAAATCTCAGCAACCTAACATCTAGTGTATCCTTTCTCTATCTAACCCTGTTGGCTGAGACCACACAGGCTGAGAGCGGCACACTTCCTGCCTGTATTTAAATTTCAGCTCTGATATGAATGAGCTGTATAACCTTAAAGAACTGACTTCACCTTTCCTGTGCCTCAATTTCCTCATCTGTGAAATGGGAAAATAACTGTCTCCACCTCACAGGTTGGTGTGATTAAATGAGTGAATATATACAAAGTGCTTTTAAGAGTGCCTGAGACAGAATAAGGCCTCCATACGTTTGCCTGAGTCTTCTTCAAGGGCTCACCAACCCCAAAAGATGGAGCTTCCTCTTCTATCTCTCCCTCCATGTACTGGTACTCTCTATATTGGGCATTCACTACCAGCCCTGCCAGTGAATATTTTGAGCATTCCCTGTGATAAATTTTAACGGAAACATGATTCCTTATTTAATCATTTAATAAATGTGTATGGAAGATCTATTCTGTCTCTGGTATAGCTCTAGGCAGAGACGAGCTTGATAGGCATGACTCTCCTCTTATTGAGGGGATGTTCCAGAGCAGAGGGACAGAAATAAATGCTATGGTTTGGCTGTGTCCCCACCCAAATATCATCTTGAATTGTAGCTCCCATAATCCCACATGCTGTGAGACAGACCTAGTGGGAAGCGAATTGAATCATGGGGGCAGTTACCTCCATGCTGTTCTCATGACAGTGAGTGAGTTCTCACAAGATCTGATGGTTTTATCTGGCATTTCTCTGGCTGGCACTGCACTTCTCTCTCTCCTGCTGCCATGTGAAGAAGGACATGTTTGCTTCCCCTTCCAGTATGATTCTAACTGTCCTGAGGCTTCCCCAGCCATGCTGAACTGTGAGTCAATTGAACATCTTTCTTTTATAAATTATACAGTCTTGGGTATGTCTTTATTAGCAGCGTGAGAATGGACTAATACAACAGGCAAGCCAATAACAAAATAAATTAGCTAATAACAGGTGCTATGAAGACAGTAAATGGGGTGGTGTGCTAGTTACTCATGTGTTCTACTTTAAAGTGTAGAGTCACTGAAGGTCTCTCTAGGCAGGTAACAGTTGAGCTGAAATTGGAATGTTGGGAAGGATTCAGCCATGCAAAGTCCAAGAGAGAGAGCAAGGCAGGCAGAGGGAATGGCACCGGCAAAGGCCCTGAGGTAGGAAGGAGCGTGGCTAGAATAGAGAAGGCAAGAGTGGGTGAGCAGGAGATCAAGTCAGAGAGGTAAGCAGACCCAGGAAGGGGTTGGATTTTGGACAGCATCGAATGAGACTGTAGAAGATGGAACTCCACAAGCTGACCTGAGACCTTGAGAACAGGGATTCTAGTCCTAAACGGGTTTCTGACCCTAGGCCAGTCCCTGAATCCCTGAATCACTTAATGGCTCAATTTCCTGAACTGGAAACTTAAGAAATGGACTACGTAATATCTAAACATCCTGTCAGAAATTTTAAAATAGGTACTTATTATTCTCTTCTTTTTTTTTTTTTCGATAGAGTCTCACTCTGTTGCCAGGCTGGAGTGCAGTAGCACAATCTCGGCTCACTGCAACCTCTGCCTCACAGGTTCAAGTGATGCTCCTGCCTCAGCCTCCTGAGTATCTGGGACTACAGGCATGTGCCACCACACCCAGCTGATATTCTTGACATGCTTTATTGGTATCAAGATAACTGGGTCATGCCATCCATCAGCCAGTCTTCACCTCTGTCTGATTCTCAGTTCCTTCAGCTATGAAGGGTATATAACTTGAAGAGCTGCAAAGATCAAATGAGATTAAAAATGAAACATACACTTTAAAGTGCAAAGTCAACCGGGCGCAATGGCTCACACCTGGAATCCCAGCAGTTTGGGAGGCCGAGGCAGGCTGATCACTTGAGGTCAGGCATTCAAAACCAGCCTGGCCAATATGGTGAAACCCTGTCTCTACTAAAAATACAAAAATTAGACAAGTGTGGTGGTGCATGCCGGTAATCGCAGCTACTCGGGAGGCTGAGGCAGCAGAATTCCTTGGACCCGGGAGGCAGAGGTTGCAAAGAGCCGAGATCATGCCACTGCATTCCAGCCTGGGCTACAGAGCAAGACTTGCTCTCAAAGAATATAATTAATTGATTAAAATAAAAATAAAATGCAAAGTCAATACAAGAGTAGAAGCATAGACAGGATATTAAGGGGAATTTAACATCTCCTTTCCTACTGTCTTCTAGAAGTTTTCTCCTAGAGAAATGTGCTTTGCCATTTTGTCTTTAAATCTTTCAAATACTTACAAAACAACAATAATGTCCCAGCCACCACTTTAACTATTTTATGTGCATTTTTGGACTTAATCCTCAAAACAATCTTGGGAGGTAGGAGTTATTATTTCCTCTATTTTACAAACGAGGAAATTGAGGTCTGCATCTCTTACTATTTTCTGTATTCCAGTTTTCTTTCTTTACCCTTCACTTGTCCACAGGGTGAATCTGATCACCAATTAAAGGGGGGGGGGTGGATATCTATTGTCAAGTAAGGACAGTACTAGAATCAATTTAAATTTTAGAGCCTTAAATACAACCTGAGGAAAATCTGTCCTCAGTGTTTTGAAAGCACTTAACAAGTTCTAAGACTCACTTGCCCAAGTGGCGATTGATTATAAAAGTTTTCTAGATCACTGTCAGTCATATTATTCTTCAAGATGATCAGGGAAGGATGCACCACATTTAGATTCATTTGTTTTTAGAACTATCCATTTGAGTACAGATTTATAACCAAAAACAAGGTACCAGGAAACATTCTCATGAAAAGATGAAAGTTTAGCAGATTGTATTATAATTTCATATTGTACTGCTTTCATGGGACAATTGTTTGTTTACTCGGTAAATTTTTATAGGCTTTGATCAAATTTATCAGTAGTTAAAAAAATCGGCCGGCACAGTGCCTCCTGCCTGTAATCCCAGCACTCTGGAGGCTGAGGCAGGCAGATCACCTGAGGTCAGGAGTTCAAGACCGGCCTGGCCAACATGGTGAAACCCCGTCTCTGGCTCAAAAATTAGCCAGACATGGTGGTGGGTGCCTGTAATCTCAGCTGCTTGGGAGGTGAGGCAGGAAAATCACTTGAACCCGGAAGGTCGAGGATGTAGTGAGCCGACACTATGCCATCGTACTGCAGCCTGGGCAGCAAGAATGAAACTGTGTCTCAAAAAAAAACGTGAAAAAAAATTGGCCAATGCTTTAGCTCCCAGATATGAAATTTAAGGCTTCTGAAATCTCAACATGTTTGCTGAAGATGGCTCCACTGGTGGTTCTAACAGGAAAAATTGTTCCCCTACTTGAAAAAAAAATTTGCACTGGGAACAGACAGAAATAAACATATAGCAATTCTATGTGTTCTACCCTACATGTGGACATAGGTAGATAACCTTTATATTGTGCCAAGCTCTAGGTTAGTCAGACACAAAACCCGTCCACCATGACCTAACCTCAGAGATCCCAAACACATGATCTTAAAAACCAACTGCAGTGTTTCCTTATAATTTTGGAACAGCTTTCTGACTCTGTCCTTGCTGACATTTTACTGAAAAACAGAGAAAGAGAATGAAAAGAAGAAAAAAAAAGAGGCGGGGGGGATTCAGCCTCCAAAGCAATTAATTTTGGGGTGTTTTTCTGTTTAAAAAGGCACATACTATTCATTCTTGCTCAACGAGCACATTTAATTCGAAGCCTCTTGGTTCTGATCAGATTTCAGACAACCAATAAAGATTCCTACTGGGCAATAAAATATCCAGGGCTGCAATCTGCCACCCATCTGTCCTCTGCAAAGAACCCATCCAGCTCTTCCTAAGGGCAATGTTGCTGTCTCTGCCATCAGTCTAGATTTGGAATTACGCAGGAAAGTCATCCCACCAAAGCACAGTCATTCCCAGCTTCAGCCTTTTGGGGGAACTTATTGCTCTCTTACTGGCCAAAAGAACCTAGAAAGAAAATATCCAAATAAAGAGTTTTTAATGTTCATCAGGAGAGTGAATCTCTATAATATGGCACATGAAGCCAAGACCCTCCTTGAGTATATCCTACCTAAATGGAGAATCAGGAAATAAGTCTAAAACGCTAATACTCTAATTACTGCTCTTGGGAAAATGCCTTTTCTGATAGCACAGAATGTGACCTTCACTGACACATCGTCCACAGAAAGCGAGGCAGACTGTCCAGGCATTCAAAAACCCCTATTTGTGCCCCAGCCCCACCCCCACTTTGTTACTGTTCCAGAGTGGCTATGTACTGCCTGGGGCTAGCTTGTTTGATCTGCAGCTGCAGAAACAAAGCCATTTAAATGTAAAAGGTTATGAAGAGGAAGGGAGAGTCAGTGAGGTCTGAACCAAGAATGAAATACAGGCTTTTATACCAAAGGAAGGCTTTAAATTGAATATGTCTTCAGGAAAAATCAATTTGCCTTTTCCTTTCTTGTCATAATTTCTCCGTGCAACATGACCCTTGCCAATTATTGAAGGGTGTATTGTTGCATAAACTCTTGCACAGTGAAGTTTATCCCACAGAATAATCACATAAAGCAGCATCTGTGATGTCACAATTGGTTTCCTTGGTGATGAGGAAAAGAAGAAGCAAAGAATGAGGGATGGGGTGGATCACACCAGTGACATGACAGTCGCTTTGGTAGCAGTAGAAATGCTACTTGTGAAACTATCCTTAGCTCCAGCACCGTAGAGCGATCACTGACAATTGTGTGGTGAGTGACAGGAGAGAAGAGTGGAGGATACAAGCCATATGAGGCAGGTATCTTTTCAGAAACATAATTTTACAACAGCCATTAAAGAGAATAGCCAAAGCATCAAAAAGCAGGCAAGGGCAAAAGTTTTTAGAAAATAAAGGCAACAAACAAACTGGGGAGTACAGCTTTCCTGAGTCCCAGTCATACATCCTGCCTCTTCCTACCTGATCTGCCATCTCGCTGAATGTCCACATGGTACCATTCCCCATCATTGGCTTTCTTCTGAGTGGCTTTCACTTTGATGGTGCCGGAGCCCATGTCAAGCAGCAAGTACAGGTTGCCATCAAGGAGTTCCACAGCAAAGAAGTCTACTTTTGTGTTCTTTTGGCTCCGAGCATCCTTCCTCTCTTGGGGCTTTCCATGAGTGAAGAGGATCAGGCCATTGGGCTCAGTGGTGCGGAAGTCAAAGGAGATGGAGCCCATACGTTTAGTGTTCCACTTGGGCAAGCTGATGTAAGCCTCTGGGGTCTCGAAGTTGATGGGGTCCAGTGTGGCCACATTCTCACACTTGAACACAACTTCACCATAGATTTTCATCTTGGTGTCCCCAATCCGTGCCAGGCGAGACAGCTCCAGACGGATGTCATTATTCTTATAAACAACCTGTCAAAAGCCAAACAAAAATGCCATATGAATCAATCTTGCAAACAGTATCCATCCATCACTCACCGGGCACCTGGAAAAATGACCCAAGAAGAGCCTTGAGGACATAGTCCAAAACAACATGAGAAACAATGAGACACAGGAAACAGAAAGTATCTGTGGAAACATCTGATGTGCACACAAGCTCTAAAAAAAAGCCTCTATATTTCCATGGAATTTATTTGTCTCCTGGCCAATTCCTTGTGTTGTCAGAAAGTTATACAACATAAGCTTGCAAATAAAAATCAAGAGAGATTGAGTTGCTTGGAATCATATACTTCACACAAAGTGATTTACTGAAACAACCTTAGTTAGTAAAAGACCAGAAACAACCTAAATGACCATCAATAGCAGATGGCACAGCTTTATAATGGAATATTAGGCAGCCCTTGAAAACAAGGTATTGCTTTTGGTTTTAATGTGGAAGCTCTCCAAGTCACATTGTTAAGTGAAGTTGTCAAGGAACAGGATAGAGGGTGCATTATGCTATCATTGTGTAAAAGTGTGGAGGTGTGGGGACATTATATATATATGCTCCTGTAAGCAACAAGTCTCTTTGGAATTATAAAATTGTCATTGGGGAGTATACTTGCGGGATTAGTATTCTAGACGGGGAGGGTGACTTACTTTTCTCTGCGCCCTCTGGTAGTGTTGGACTTTTTTTTTCAACCACGTGGATGTATTACTTTAAACAAAGATTAAGTGTTAAAAGCTGATGGAGACAGAGGTCCAGTTGTGTTTTTGTTTTCTGCACATTGCATGTGCCTTCTGTTTAGTGGTAGAATGAGACACCCTGAAGCCCTAGTTCGGTCAGGGTTATTTATTTAGTTGTGAGCCTGATTTTACAGAGACTACTGAATCAGATACTAATTCACCTCGTCAGGGGGTCCAGCAGGGCTTTCTGTCTCTGTGCCCTACTGAAGGTTAGTGTACACTTCTACAAATCCATGGTCATTGTTCTGCAGAATGGGTAGGTAGGTGGAGAAGGGGAGGATGCCAGTCAAAAAAATGTTATGACTTTCTAACAGCTGCTATAGAAAACAGTGTGGAGATTCCTTAAAGAACTAAAATTAGAACTATCATTTGATCCAGCAATCCCACTACTGGGTATCTACCCAGAGGAAAGTAAGTCATATGAAAAAGATACTTGCACACACATGTTTATAGCAGCACAATTCACAATCGTGGAACCAACCCAAAAGCCCGTCAATGAACAAGTGGATAAAGAAACTGTGGTGTGTGTGTATATATATATATATATATACACAATGGAATACGACTCAGCCATAAAACAGAATGAATTAATGACATTCGCAGTGACCTGGATGAGACTGGAGACTATTATTCTAAGTGAGTTAACTCAGGAATAGAAAACCAAACATCATATGTTCTCACTGATACGTGGGAGCTAAGCTATAAAGACACAAAGGCATAAGAATGATACAATGGGCTTTGGAGACTTGGGGGGATGGGTGGGAGGAGGGCGAGGGATAAAAGACAACAAAAAGGGTGCAGAATATACTGCTCGGGTGTTGGGTGCATCAAAATCTCACAAATAACCACTGAAGAACTTACTCATATAACCAAACTCTACCTGTACCCCAATAACCTATGGAAAAAATCAGTTATGACCTTCTAAACCAGCTATAATCCATATAAAAGCAGAAAATAATCTTTCTCTCCGAAATTAGAATTTCAAAAAATTTTTACTCTTATTCAAACTGAAATTTGATATAGTTCCCTGGGATGGTTCTCAGTGCTCTGATCTCTGAGCAATGTCACATCCATAAAAAATTAATAAAGAGAAAACAATGGAAGGGAAATTGACAAGGATCTGAGTATTGAGCATACCAACTACTTTGCTATTTTCTTCGTATTACCTTATTCAAATTCTAGGTCAGGACCTAGATTTAGGTTTGAAGTCCACATCTACTACTTACAAGCTCTGTGACTTTGGCAAAGTAACTTTTCTGGGTCTGTTTCGCCTCCTGAAATTGGGAATATAGGAATAAACTATTTTGTAATAATAAAATGATTTAAAACATGTGAGAAATGGAACATCATAAGGGCACAAAAATCACAGCTATTCAGAGGGTTACTGTTAATCTCATTTTGTTCTTTCCACAGCCCTGAAAACGTTGTATTATCATCTCCAAAACAACAATACTTAATTCTAAAATAAGTCTCATCTGTCCATCTCTGTGACAGAAAGTTAATTGGATGGCTCATTCCAGCACATATCACATAATCCCCCTCACATCCGAGTGTAGAACTGGTTCCCATCTCTCTCCCATCACCAGGAGAGAATCAGGCAGAGCTGTTTGCATTCTAATGGACATTACAAGAGTGACATATAACTATGGCAAAGCATTGAAAATGACTCATCTATCATGTAACCTTGACCATGGACCTAACCATAGTCAGTAACATTGAAAATAATGATACTAACATTTATTAAGCACCTACTACCAGGCACTATGCTAAGGATTTAACACCTCTCCATCCCATTAGATCCAGACCACACCCATTTGAGATACCTGTAATCCTTCCCTTATTTTACAGATGCAGAAACAGAATGCAGAGAGTAGTTAGGGAACCAGCGACAGGCGCACAGCTGATAAGTGATAGAGCAGGACTCGAACCTAAGCATTTGGGCCCCAGGGCCCACATGCTCAGAAGTAGGCCCCTAGCAGCACCTGTGAGGTTTATCTTTAACATTACATGGAAAGTCACGCATGCTCAACTTCACAATTCAAAAGCTGATTTTTTCATTTTAGCAAAACTGGGCTGACCATGTGCAAAGGGAAATAGTGCAGGATCCTCAGCCAGTCACTCAAGTGAGTAAACCAGAAAAAAATAATAAAAGTTTAATGACTGTCAGCTTCTTTCTAACCCTCACTATTATAACTCAGCATGTGAGATCTCTTTGACATAAACAAACTTTGGCTTTTTCTGCATTTGGGTTAAATGCCTATCACTAGTGTTCCTTTAAAGGTTAATTATTAATATATAACAGTAGGTTATCCCCAAGGGACAGAAGGAGGCTTGGCACCATGGAACAATAAATAGAGAGAGATCAGGCATTCCTACAGGAGGCTGGAGACAGAATAAAAAGAAAAAAAAAAAAAGCCTTTAACAGGATACAAGAGCAGTGAAGAGAAACTCTTCTGTGAGAAGGATACCTAACTGAGACTGGGAAAGAAGGTGAATAGCCAGAATGAAGATTTCTGAAGAGATAGGTAAGAGAATCAAGGGCCATAAACTGGCCAGACAGAGATAACCAGACTTCTCTCAAAGGCCCTTTGAAGGTGAGTGCTCTATCTACTCCACTGCCGTGAAATTACCTGTCTATTTATATGGAGTTTTCACTGTCGTGAATAAAAAGCCAACACCACTCTCACTGACAGCTGAATAACCTTTCTGAGTCCCATTTTATTTATTCCAAAGGTAAGAGCCTCAATATCTGTTCTATAAACGGTCCGTCTTTCCCACCCCACAGGGCTGTTGTCGAGATCAAATGGTAGGGCACAGACATAGTAGGACACAGACAATTCTGACATACAAACCTAGGAAGAAATAAAAGTATATCTTCGTCTCCCATGGTGTGGGGGTTCTGTTGGAAATGGACAGGGTCCTGAACTGAGATTCTGTGAAGGTTTTTCTACCAAGAGGAAAAGGGCAGTAGACAAGGGACTTGTAGACCAGTGATGCTGAACTGGGACCCTCTATTGTTAATATCTTTACCTTCCCCACCTGCTCTGTGCAGAACCACAGCCACAGGCACGCAGAAGTGTACTGGCACCCTGGGTCAGCACGGAGGCAGGAAACCCTGCTGGATCCCCTTACGAGGCAAATTAGTATCTAGTATAATGTTCTCTGTAAAAGCAGACTGTCAACTAAATGAATGTCCCCAAATGGCTGGCTGAACTAGGAAGAGATGTGGCATCAAGTGACAGAAAGCAGCCTTGGCTGACAAGTCGCCTCGGCGAGGAGCAATTAAGGACAAAGTAGAAACGGCTCCCCGTGGGGAAAGATGTCACACAGACTGGGAGGTATAGAAACAGAGTTGCAAAGAGTGACAAGCTGGTCTTGCTATCCCACCCATGGGCTTGTAAAGACTGCTGTTTGGACACGTAACTCATGCTTAGGAGACCAGACAGTAAAACAGCTGAGGACAGAATCTCAGAATTAAGACAAAGTCTCTAAGAAAAAAAATATACCTGTATTCCTCCACAATCTTTAATACAGAGACACACAGGAGCAATACCAGGAGTAAGGCAAGCTGAGGGCAGGAACAATACAATAAAAACTGAGAGTCTACGTGTACTGGGTACTTTGCAAACACTATTTTACATCATCCACAGGAAGCGCATTAAATAGGTAGCAGTTACCCCATTTTACAGACATGGGGGTCAGCAGGGATACTTACCTGCCCAAGATCATGTAGGCGATTAAATGCATAACCAGTCCATTAAATGCATAACCTGCACTGGGGTAAGGATATGCTCCAGAGAGGGCAATTTCTAGGCGCTTCTGTAGCCTATGCCTACATACAAAGCAGAAACCCCTTCGCCATGCACAAAAACCATACCCAAGTCCATGTTGACGTGCAAAGCCCTTCACCCCTTGTGCAATCCATTTCTAATGGATGTCTATACCTCCCCACTTAGGGGTCACCTCAAAGGCTTCTGACTGAACCTAGGCGCTGTTGCTTCTGCACTTTTGTTCACTGAGTTTCCTAGGCTGCAGCACCTTTCTCTTCTCTCCATCCTCTCTAAATGATGCCCCTTCACCGGAATTTTCAAATTCACTCCAGAAGTTCTCCGCTACTCTGGTACTTGCTGATCCCACACTCTGGTAAATCAGAGTCCTTATATTATCTACCAATGAGGAAGCGGTCTGCCCTATTGCCCAACCCCCTTGTCTTGGTTAGAAAAAGAGAGACTATCCTAACCCTACAT